AGTATAGGCGGGACTAACAGAGAGGAGAATTGAGAGAACAGGAAGGCGGAGGGAGACACTGCCAGCCTCAGCCATGACAAGCAGCATGTGAAGATGCCGGTAAGCCATGAGTCATGTGGCAAGGTGTAGATTTATAGAAATGGGTTAATTTAAGATATAAGAACAGTTAGCAAGAAGCCTGCCACAGCCATACAGTTCGTAAACAATATAAGCATCTGTGTATTTATTTTATAAGTGGGCTATCGGACTGCCGGGGTTTGGTGGGACCTGGAGAGAAGCTCTCCAGCTACACTAAGCTATAAGCTGAGCTTTCATAATTAATAAGTAGTCTCCATGTCATTATTTGGGAACTGGCTGGCAGAACAGAGAAAGACTAGTTACAAGTGAAGAAGGACATTCAACTCTGATTTTCCAGTCAAGATTCCAACAGTTCCAGTGAGGCATTTTCAGGACATTATTACAGTTAAAAAGTTTTAATGCTTTTTTTCCTGAAGATTTCCTTATTTTTTAAATAACAATGCTGGATAGATTACCATTCTAGATCTCAAGATATATTACAAAGCCAAAATAACAAAAACAATATGATACTAAAACAAAATAAACATGTAGAACAATGGAACAATATCAAAGACACAAACATGAGTGCATATAACTATAGCCATTTAATATTCAAAAAGCTGCTGAAAAATGTGCTAGAGAAATGAAATAATCTTCAACAAATGGTGCTAGGAAAACTGGATTGTCCACATGCAGAAGAATGAAATTAGAACTCTATCTATCACCTTTAATAAAAACTAACTCCAAATGGATCAAATACCCCAATCCCAAAACACTGAATCTGCTAGAAGAAAATATTAACCATACCTATGGGATATAGGTGTAAGAAATGACTTTCTTTACAGCACTCCAAATACCCAAGAATTAAGGCCAACAATTGACAGGTGGGACCACATAAAATAAAATAGTTCTACACAGCTAAAGAAGCAATCAAGTGAAGAGAAAGCCCATAGAATGGGAGGGAATCTATGCTAGTTAAACATCTGACAGAGGATTGTTATTCTGAGTATAAGGAATTCAAATAAAGATTTTTAAATGACTCATACAAAAAATAAATGAACCTAGAATCTGAACAGAGTTATCAAAGGAAGAAATAAAAACAGCTAAGAAATATCTCAAAAACTGTTCATCATCCCCATCAATTAATGCAAATCAAGACAACTTTGAGATTTCATCTTACTACAGTAAGAATGGCAAGATCAAATAACCAGGCAGATGAGGGGGAAATGGACCCCTCATCTTCTGTTAGTGGCATTGAAAACCAACCCAGCCACTATGTAACTCAGTATGGAGAATCCTCAGAAAGGTAGGTAGATAGATAGATAGATAGATAGATAGATAGATAGATAGATAGATAGATAGATAGATAGATAGATAGATAGATTTATATGAAGTATTTGATGACCTGGAGTCAAAGATGGAAGATTCTGGGAAACAGCTCCTTCAGTCTGTTCTCTATCTGATGGAAAATGGAGCCCTAGTATTAACTACATATGCAGCCGACCAGGGAAAACAGCTTGAATCCCTTAACCTTACTGATGAGAAAAAGGTCCTGGAGTGGGCTCAGGAGAAGCGGAAGCTAAGTGTGTTACACATCCATGGGGTCTATACCAATCCAAGTGGTATTGTCCTCCACCCAGCTGGATATCAGAATGTGCTCAGGAACACTGAAGTTATGAGAGAGATTCAGAAACTCTATGAAAACAAGTCATTTCTTTTCTTGGGATGTGGCTGGATGGTAGATGACACCACTTTCCAGGCCCTGTTCCTGGAGGCTGTCAAGCACAAATCTGACCTAGAACATTTCATGCTGGTTCGGAGAGGAGATGTAGATGAGCTCAAGAAACTTCGAGAAAACATGCTGGACAAGGGGATTAAGGTCATCTCCTATGGAAATGACTATGCTGATCTTCCGGAATATTTCAAGTGACTGGCATGTGAGATCTCCACAAGAGCAGGGATGGCAAGAGAAGGTCAGCTAAATGGCTCATCTGCAGTACACGGTGAAATGAGAGGCTGTAGTACATGAGCAAGCTGGAGAAATCACCATTATACCACACTGTGGGGCCTTCCTGTGGATGTGTTTAACATGCAAACATACAAGAACTCAGCACCGCTCCTAGGAAATACCAATACCCAGAAGTTGAAGCTTGGGGTAGCATAGGGGTGGCAGTGTTGCACCTTCCCTTCATGCTGGCTGTTTCTTGATACTCTGCTGCCTGGTCCAGTTTAGTACCCAATGACATCAGGACCCAATGTAGCCCCTCCCTACCCCAAGGCTGGACATGCTTGTCTACACAGCAGACCAATGTGATGGCTCCTGGCTATGGCTGCAGCTCTGCAGGACTTGGGGAGCAAGAAGTCATGGAGTCGGTGGGCTCTTGTTGCAGTTTTGTACTCTACTTGGTTTTTTCAATTGAGCTTATGGCTTTTTTAAAACATGACTTGAAGCTCTAGTTTTCTAGATCTTTTACAGTGTACAGTATTTTACATAAATGAGCTGTATTAAAAGCCTGTTCATTTACTTGCCAGGGGGGAAAAAGATAAATAAGATAGATAGATAGATAGATAGATAGATAGATAGATAGATAGATAGATAGATAGATAGATAGATAGATAGATGATAGACAGATGAATAAAACCATCTTATGGCCCAGTTATACCACTCTTTGGCATATGTCCAAAAGATTCAACATCCTACTCCACAGACAAATGCTCAATCATGTTTATTGCTGCCCAATTCACAATAGCTAGGAAATGGAAACAACCTAAATGTCCTTCAACTAATGAATAAACTATGAAAATGTGGTACATATACGCTATGGAATACTATTCAGGTGTGAAGAAAAATGAAATCATGAATTTGCAAGTAAATGGATAGAACTAGAAAAAAATGACACTGAGTGGGAGTGATTCAAACCCCCCAAAAAATGTTGCATGTTCTATCATATCTGAGTTTCCAAGCCCCAAATCTTATGATGTGAGTATATAACCTGGAATAATTGCAGACATCAGGAAAGAAAGTAGGAACCACGGCTAGGGTGGAAGGTTGGGGGAGCAATAGAGAGGGGTATAGGAGGAGGAATATAGCACAGTGCAAGTGATTTGAAAGGGGAAATGGGGAAAGCAGGGCAGAGGGCTTTAACTATGGAGGAGGAGGGGAATAAATACAGAAGAAGAGTAAAGAGGATAAAATACTAAAGATGTCTGAAAAATTCAAGGATTCATACTATTAACTATCTACTTAAAAGCACCTATATAATACATGTGCCTCTGTGTATACATATACATTTAAGGAAATGTCCCCATCTGGGCTAGCAATTCTCCCTACAAGAGCCGTAGACTATCCTACATAAACCCCAGTACCAGGCATAAGAAGCTCTCTTTTGAGTTGTTGGTCCAAAAGACTCCCAAAACTTTATAGGCAATCGCTGCAGACCTTGGTTGCCCTCTGGAGGAACAATACAAGTATTGCTGAAGACACCATGCACTTCAGATTCATAGCCCAGAGAATCCAACCTGGATCTGACCTAAAAGCTTCCTCCCTGAGGACTAGTTTTCTTGGTACCAGAGGGTGCCATTCAAGCTTCCAAGGGAAGTAATCAAGCAACAGTCCTACACATATATGACACCTATGAACCACAACAATGACTAGAATGACATGTTAACACAAAGGGTTCAGTAGCGGCACATATACCTTGGCAGTGACCATCAGTTCCCTAATTGAACTTATGGCCCATTCAACAAAAGAGAAGCCATGCCTGGTACTGAAAACAGAGCCAACTACCCAGGACTAATGATGTGGTAGATCTTGGTGGAGAACCTACAACTTCTTCCACTTTACTAAACCAGCATAATCCCTAACTATCATCTAAATATTTATCCTTATACCCACAGATAAGTGTAGCTCTCCCTCCTCATCAAGGAAACTTCCCTTTGCAACAATTACCATTACATAATGCTGTAGCAAATCAAAATGCAGAATTGTAGTGCCCAGTCCCTACTATTACATCTACAATACATCTGTACCAAAGGTCAGAGATCATAGCAGAATATGGGGCAGAAAGATTGTAAGAGCCAGAGGAACAGGAAGTTTCCTGTGAGATTGTGTTCCCTAAAAATGTCAGAGAAGCTACACCCATGACGTCTCAACAACATGGCTGCTTAAACATGCGCTGAACAAGGACAATACCAATAGACATACTAATGTGTATGGGGAAAGGACCAAAAGACCTCAGCCCTACACAGAGAACCAAAGTCAACTAAGGAGTGCTGAGAGTGTCTTCTCCATAGGAGAGCAAAGCAATTGGCTATCCAATACCAATTGATCAACCCTGAAACATTATATAATATATATATATTTATGTGTGTGTATGTGTGTATACACATACATACCAAGTAATGATGTTATATGGACTGAGTAAGTTATATTTATAAAGTTAGGAATAATATTGTATTATAATATTGATGTAATTATATTATAATCTCAAAACAAGTTTTTAGTATTTTTTATTTCCTTATCTTTAGTTTACATGTACAAATATTTACCTGCTTTTCTACACTATACATGTCCCTGTTGCCCTCAGAGGCCAAATGATGAAATCAGATCCTCAAGATCTAGAGTTACAGATGGTTGTAAGCCCCCATGTGGTCTTGTAGACAACGAGGTTTACAAGAGGAGAAAATGTTCTTAATCTCTGTGCCATCTCTCCAGCCCCTTGATGTCTTTTCTGCCTAGATAATGGTCCATATTTATTAAGGAGTATACTAAAATATTAATTTCTGGATATTACAAAGCACTTTCAGATACCAACCACTCCTAACAAATAAGTCTTTTAAAAGGGCAAGTATGTTGTTCCTACTCTATAAATTGGTTTTGACTTCTATCTTCAAGAAGATGAAGGATGAATACATAAGCAATTGTCACTGACAAACATGTGTACCTTTATAATAAAGGTCTTTCTGTGTCCTAATTTTCTGCAAAAAAAAAAAAAACATCTATTGTTATAGGTGCCAGCTATTATAAAGACATCCAATCTCTAACAAAACAGAGAATACACTTGGAAAGTGGGTTGTGGGCCCTACGGGAGAACCTATTACTTTGCTAAATGAACACAATATTAAACTGATGCCTGGTGATTTATTTTTATGGCCATAGATCAGTACATCTCTCAGTCCTCATCAGAGAAGTTCCCTTTTTTAGTAGATATAAATTAACACAGAGTCACAACTCATCAAGATGCAGAGAATAAGAAAATGCAGAATGATCAGCACTAAATTGGACATACGTATCAGGCCTTTTCCTCCCAAGGTTCAGAGATCAATGCAGAAGAGGAAGATAAGATTGTAAGAGCCAGAGGTGATGGATGACTACAAGGAAAACAGTATTTTCAGGATACAACATTGAATCCATGAATTGACCTCAGCAAAACAGGCTATCTGGGCCTGAATTCAAGAAAGCCCCCATGATCCTCATAGAAACATGTTTTCCTCATTGAACTGCAATCAGCAGAGCTTAGTGAGAATCAGGAACACACTGGTTCTTCAATCTTTTGTTAGATGTTGTCTCAGGCCTGCAACAGCCGAAGCAGACATGGTTGTTTTCTATTAGTACTTTGTGAGCTCACTTTCCCTATATTGGCATTTATGATGTAGTTTATGGGTCCAAAAGAGCATCCTGAAGTTTTATATAAATATAATGTCTACCCACAATCTAAGCAACATCTTCTGAGACCTACCCTTGATGCATATTCCAAGGACAAACTGAACTAAAGCTCCATGTATGACCAGATTCAGATTCAGACAAGATAAATTGCATCTTTTTTTTTTCTTTTCGACCTGATTACGGATTTGACCAGAGTTTACTTCTTAGGTCTTCCCTGTTTGCCCACTCCTACTATACCAGAGGGGTATCGAATGCCTACAGTTAGAGCACAGCTAAACTCCTCCTAACTCAGTGGCAGCTCCATTATTTTCCAGGCTGCTGCCTATTACTCCTTTCACTTCTTACACACACACACACACACACACACACACACACACACACACACACACTCCCACCCAAGCTGTTCTGAATATATTTTTTAAAAATATAAAACACAAACAGTTGTCAAAAGCAAAGAATGTGGGTTTTTCTTCATTCTTCATTTGGGCTAAACTTCATTGCTGCTTCCATAAATGCCCAGATGCCCAGGTGTTAATTATATTTTATGTGATTATTTATATTATGATGAAAAGAGCTGGGTATATGGTTGATATTAAATACAACTTCCTTTCATTTGAACTAACACAAAAAAATTCATACCACTTTTAAATAAAGTATGTTATCCCTTACAATGGAAAGTCATTAGTCTTTAAAAAATATTTTTACTAGTTCTTTGAGAATTTCATAGGATACATTTTTATTATATTTACCTATAACTCCTGTATTTACTCTCACCTCCCTACCCACCCAGCTTTGAATTTTCTTCTTTTTTGTTTCCTTATTGAATCTGGCTTGTGTTTCCCAACTATTTTTGAGAGTGGGGCCTGCCCTGGAATGTGGTTGACCTACCAGGAGTCCTGTTGTTGAATAACTCTGACTTTCCTTCTCCCAGAAGCTATCAAATGCCAATGGCTCCTCAGCTACTGGTGGAATTTTGCCCACCTCCCCACTCCATGCTGAGATTTCATCTAGCTTGAGCTTGTGCAAGTTTTGTGCATGGCATGATAATCACTGTGAGTTCACACATGCACATGATCTGTGTGTCCAAAAAGACTGTTCCAGTCAACCACTGTCTCTCTCTCTTACAATCTTTCCATGCCCTCTTCCAGGAAGTTCCCTAAGCCTTGGGGAGAAAGGGTATGATACAAACAGCCTCCGTAGGGCTTTTATTCTCTGTACTTTGACGAGTTGAGGATTATGGTGGAACAATCTTTTTGTACAATATGGATATGTATTACTCTCGTTGATTAATAAAGAACTGATGTGCTGGTAGCTAGGCAAGATTTTCAGGACAGAGGAATGCTGGGAAGAAGAAGAAGATCAGAGTCTCGAGAGTCAAGAGAGATGGGAAAAGAAGCAAGATGAAAGTGCCATGTTGAAAGGAAATATCACCATGTGGAAGAAGGTAGATAAGAAATATGGGTTAATTTAAAATGTAGGAGTTAGCTAGTAACCAGCCTGAGCTATCAGCCAAGCATTTATAATTAATAATAAGTATCTGTGTGGTTATTCGGGAGTGACTGTTGAGACACAGAGAAACTTCACCTATATATGAAGGATGCCAGTGCCCCCAGACAAACAGGAAGCAGTCTAGAAGAAAGAATGCCCACATTCCCAAAAGATGGGCTATGGATGTTTGTTATCATTTAAGGAGGGCTGTTTACAAGTTATTATTGGTCATAGGAAAAAACGCTAGACAAAAGAGTTAAATTCAAAGCCCTCTTTCTAAAGAAAAAAAAAGGGGGGAGATTATTCAATCTACTTTAATCCAAAAAACAGCTATTACTCTCAAAATATTTCACATTGGTATGGATTTTGGTTTATTGATAC